CCTTGTTCACAACATACTGAGACACAGGTAACCCAATGGAATCTGCTGATGGAATCCATTCCTGAATTTCTTGCTAAACTAGAAATGTGAGAAATTCAGGACTTTTATTCTTAAGAGAAAATACAAACATGGTGTAACTATCCTATTGCTTGAGCAATATCAAAAACGAGATTGAATTCCTTTTTAATAGGAAAGGAAAATATAAATGTTATGAAAAAAGCAATATACAAAACAGTCTAGTATAATTTAACTATAAAAATAAATATCTAGTAACATATATACACAAATGTAAATCTTGTCTGTAATTTAAAAGTATTTTTTTTTAAATGGAACAAAAATAATTTAAAATTTTCAAATGTATCATTTATTGAGCTAAGGAATGTATGTCTCTTGTCGAGATTTCAGAAGTCACCAGCTATTTGATTAAGATTCCAGAATTTGGAAAGTCTGGTTTCTGCATTTTGACATGTTGCATAGATCAGAATTACTGTTTCAGATTTTGGTTTTTTTGATTTACTTCTTTTTTTTTTAATTGAGGTATAACTGACATATAACATTATATTTCAGGTGTACAGCATAATGATTTGGTATTTGTATATGTTGCTAAATGATTACCACAATAAGTCTAGTTAACATCTGTCACCATACATAGTTACAAAAATTTGATTTACTTCTTTGATAGTTCTTTCAAAATATGGAAAGTTCCTGTGTTCTCTCATATACTCCAAAGTCTTGAACTTACAGAGGGAATACTTACTAGGTTATGGAAGGAATACTAGGAATTACCAAAATATAACTGACACAGGCTGGTTTCCGGCAAGTGTCTGGCTCATGTGGTTGCTATTGGAAAGAGAAGGGGTGGTAGTATTTTCTGGCCAGTGTGTGCAGTTTAACAGTATTTCTCACCTTAGTCTTCCTGAGAATAACAAGTAGAATTAAATCCATTATAATATGCAGAGAGACATTACTATCATCTGATGTTTAAGTGCCTTTTTGGAGACAATATTGTAAAGAACCAGGGTAGAGAAATTTCACTTCTCACAAACTATTCAATAGAAATAATTTGACATATAGAAAAAAATGTATACATCAATATTATTGACCTCCTTATTTATGATAATGAAAAATCAGAAACAACTTAAATATCCAACAGAAAGGTAATGGTTAAGTAAACAGTGGGATGTATGTTCAGTGGAACATTGTGCAGCTTTTAAAATCGTTTTTGTGAAGAATTCATAAAAGCATGGAAAATGTTTGTGTTATAGTAAAAAATGAAGTAAGCCAAATTGCAAAATTAGATATAACCATAACCACAGCTACATAAAGTGAAAATATTCAGAAAAATATTAGAAGTAAATAGACCAAAATATTAAAGTGCTATTTCTAAGTTATGGTAATACATTTTTTTCCTTTCTTCTACCTTTATATATCTTATAAATGTCCTATACTGAGTTTGTATTACTTAGTAGTGGGGGGAAAACAATGAACAAAATAGAGCTGCAAATTGCCATGTGAAAGTCTCTGCACCTGAGGATTTAGATTCTAAAATGTGACATTGATTTGTAAACCATCCGTAAGATTATAAGAAGACCTCTAGGATGTCGCCATTTTTTAAATTTACAAATTTTGCCTGCTACAGTGCCATCAGTTCTGTTAATCAAAAAGAAGAGACCTGTGTATTTGGCACTTTCACAAAGAGAGGTTTTAGGGTTCTCAGAAAGCTAAAAGTGGTTTTAAGCATGCTGGGGCAACAAGTGCCCCCCTCAGTGCCTTTCCGTATGACCATGTAGTCTCTGGAACCAGGCAGAAAGGTTTCAGCAAGCGTGTCACACACACCCTTACTGAGTAAGCGCTGCCTCTTTGATGGCTTTGGATGAGCTCCAGACACATTTTCTAGTATTGTTCCACCTGCTGGGACTGACGAGCCTGTTAGAGAGAGTTTCTGGTGGCTTTCACAATCCTATTTATAATTTGTGGAGAACTTTAGCATTTCCAAAGTACCTCCGTATACATTACCTCATTTGTGAGGGGGGAAAGAGAGGGTAGGTGGGTGTTCTCATTTACAGATGAGACATAGCGAGGCTCAGTGACACCTAGCTGGTGGATGGCGGAGCATATACTTACAACCCAGTCTTCCCATTCCAAACCTGGTGTTCTTTCCACATTATGCTCTTGTTCATGATCCTGTACTCCTTAGTTTTTCTCTACTGTCCTTGCTTCCTTTCTCATAATTGCTTCCATTTGCTTTTTTATTGCTTTGTACTTTTGGTATAAAAGAATCAGTTTGATACTAATTTTAAAAGAAATAGGAGAGACATTTTTCAAGAAATGTTGTTCTTTATAGTAATAGTATGGTTTTAATTTTTAAATTATCTGAGAAGAGACTATAACCTCTTTAACCCAATATAATTTATAAAATTTTAGTGAACGTATTTTATTTTATTTTTATTATTTTTTTTTATTTTATTTATTTATTTTTCCCCCTAAAGCCCCAGTAGATAGTTGTACGTCATAGCTGCACATCCTTCTAGCTGCTGCATGTGGGTTGCGGCCTCAGCATGGCCGGAGAAGCGGTGCGTCGGTGCGCGCCCGGGATCCGAACCCGGGCCGCCAGCAGCGGAGCGCCGCACTCAACCGCTAAGCCATGGCGCCAGCCTGTGAACGTATTTTAAAATTAATTTTTTCCCATGTTTTAAGTGTATGTGTTTGAAAGCAAGAGTCCCACCTATTACAAATTTTTCCGGTTTCCTCCATTGTAGCACGGTGTCTTGTACGTAGTAGGCATTCAGTAAAGGCTTGTTGAATTAAACTTAATTTTATCTTCTAATCTTTTTGCACCTGAATGAAGCCCATGAGTAAATTCAGATGGAATCTGTAAGGTGAAGTTATCTTAACAATTGTAAGTCCAAATTCTCTATCACGCAAAGACCTTCATGATCTGGCCGCACCTCCCTCTCCGCATTCAACACCAAACTGAACTGTTTGCATTTCTCTAAAGCATCATCTCATCTTTGTCATAGTCATGGTCATATTGCATTCTAATTATTTATGTGTCATTAAACAATGAGCTCCTTGAGGAAAAGGGCTGTGTCTTTATCTTCAGTACCCAGAACATAGTAGTTGCTCAGTAAAGTGTTTTCTCAAAAGAATGAGTAAAAGCCAAGTGAAAACTAGCTAAGTTATTAGAATCTAGTAGACATATAAAAATACTTGGATTCCGTATTTTGAATTATCATTGTTATATGTGTTCTATATCTGTGTCAACAAAGCATTTTTTAATCAGTGGATATTTTCTACTTAAACATTTCAAGAAAGAAATCGGTTTTATATTTTACTCATTCTTCACCATAAACATGTAGGTAGCACCAATTATATGTAAGTTGCTGCAGTTAGAAGGACAAATAAATCAAGACTGAGTCTGCCCTCCAGTTTAAGAGAGAGACAAAGAAGTAAACCCTAACAGTATGCGGTAGTGGAGTCAATGCTGGAAGAGCTGCTTTAGCGTTCAGAATGGGGCTCATCAAAGAAGGCAACAGGTGTCATACATGTGTTCTTAGAAGAAGTGGTTGGTGTGACTGAGTTCTGTAAGATGAGTGAGGATCTGCCCAGCAAAGCCTGAGGTGAGAAATGGGGAAAAGAAATTGGCTTTCTAGGCAAAGGGGCAAAAATGGTTGTGTAAAGCAGAGAGGCCAGTGAGAATATGGCTTGTTTGGGGAACTGTAGTGATCTATTTGAGCTGGGAGCTAAAAGTTTTAATGGGTTAGTGAGAGCAGGGAAATGCAATGATTAGATTACAGCAGGATCAGACCAGAGGAAGGAGCAACAGAGGGGAGGGAGAAAAGTGGATGGATTTGAGAGCAGTCAGCATGATAGCTCACATTTATTAAGTGCTCGCTATACGCCAGGTGCTGATCTAAGTGCTTTAGGTATATTAATTCATTTAATCCTGATGGTAACTATGAGGTAGGTACTATTGTGATTCCTGTTTTATACAGATGAAAAAACTGAGGTACAGGGAAGTCATGCAACTTGTCCAAGGTCACAGAGCTAGTAAGTGATAGAGCAGGGATTCCAATCCAGGAATCCCTGGATTGGAACCAGTTTGGTTCCATAGTCTACTCTTAACTACTGTATTGTATACTACATTAAGGGAATAGAATCAGTAGGAGGTGGCTGAATGCATATAGGAGATTCAAATCAACACAATTTATTATGCTGTTATAAATAATAGCCATTCTACTTGAAATTAATTAAAATAGAATGTGGTACGTGTTCGGTACTTAGATTAGTGAGTAAAGAAATTTGTTTAGTAATTTAGAGTTTTCAAAGTATATTCCCTTGTACTATCTTATTTAATCTCAATTTATCCTCACCATAACCCATTTTACAAATGAAGAAACTGAGGTTAAGTGACTGTAATCCAGAGTCACAAAGCTAGTGATTGGAAAGACTAAATGTAGTCCCTAGGTTTTCTGGTTCCACGTCCGACATTATTCAGCCTTGATTAAGAGATGCAGTCTCTGCTGAGCATATAATTTCTTTGGGAAAGCAGTACATCTAGTTAAATGCACATTGAGGCTTCTAGTGTGCTGGCCAGGGTGCCAGCCAGAGAGTAAGTGTGCGTTCTTAGAGAAGCTCTTGGTCTTACAGGGGAGTTAATTTCAGGTGAGCACAAATTGCTATAGAAACACAGAGAAGAGGCATGTATGAAACAATAGAAAACTGATATGTGACTATGTATTTGGTGCCAAGATGTGTCCTATAAATAGTAGTTGTTTTAGGAAGTCAAAATAAGAAAAGATATGCCTTGCCAAGATTCTACCATTAGTTTTTCTATACGAATATCATTTTTTGGTTTATTTTATTCACAAAATGTGTGTCTCTGAGTTCTAGCATAGTACCGTGTTTTAAAATAAAGCTTATCTTATGGATATACACATTAGTATGGTCTAGTCAGCCAAAGAATTTAATTCACATTTTACTCTTTTGTTCTTCAACAGACGAAATGCATAATTTAACCTGCCAAGTGGTAAAAATGGCTGGAATAGGAGAAGTGGATTTTCTGACATTTGATCCTATAGCTAAAATGGCAAAAACTGTTAAATATGATGTACAAGCTGTAGCTGTCATTGTAGTAGTACTGAAACTGCTCTTTTTATTGGATGACAATTTAGAATGGTAAGTGTATGTCAATTTTATGAGGAAAAAATTGTATTGTTTTTACCTAATTATTCAGAGTAAAGGAGTCCATATGTTATCTCAGTAGAAAACAGAGACTCTCATTTGTTGTAGAACATTGTCTAATAGCGACAATTCTTAAATAATATTTTGACTCAGCTAGTTGTCAGAGATTTCATTCTACCTTAGTAAGTTGTTTGTATCATGTTTTGTTCCTATTTTTTAGGTAGATACACGCGTTTCTCATTGCTCCACTGATTTCTGAGTTTTGAATCATCATACACAAATCCTAAAGAATTATTTAGCCTTTCATCTTTATGCCTTTAGGCTCCTGGTACTGTGTCTTTCAAAGGTTATTTTATTTATTTATTTATTTTTTGTGAGGAGATCAGCCCTGGGCTAACATCCATGCCTGTCTTCCTCCACTTTATATGGGGCGCCGCCACAGCATGGCTTGCCAAGCAGTGCGCCGGTGCACGCCCGGGATCTGAACCAGACAACCCCGGGCCGCCGCAGCGGAGCGCGCGCACTTAACCGCTTGTGCCACCGCACCGGCTCCCAAAGATTATTTTTTAAAGTAAACGAGTCTTAAAATGTTACCCCTCCCAAATTCAAAGAAAGAGTGGCAGTATTTATAGCGTTGTCTTCCCTGTTTCAGTGGTTGCTTTTCCATTAAAATTTGGCATCAATTTCAAGTACTGTTATATACATTTCTTTCAGAAGAATTCAAAATTTAACTGTCTTCAAATAAGTGATTTCTGAATAAATTGACTTGTTTATTGGTATCCCCAGGTCTTTGTCTAATATTGCTGAGAAATATAATGAAAAGAACAAAGAAGGTACTTAATTTTTTTATCAATCAAATTCAATGTGATTGTAAATTAAGGATTAAAAGATACAATAAAGTAGGGAAGAAACTTTGAAAAATATACACATATACATACACATATACGTACACTTATACGTACACATGTATACAAATTGTACCTTGTACCAGGATTATTTTTTCATGTAGTTATCTAATTATATCTCTAGGCTGTGAAATAACTTAAGTGACTTCCTACCATGTTAAGACTAGCTTTTTTATTCCCAGTTTCTACTCACTTGCCGTACCAGACCATGAACTTACCAGCAGTTTATGACTATACCCTCTATTCTAATGCCTTCAACCATGCCTCACACTGGTCCTTCTACCTGAAATGCTCTTTCCTTGTTACCCCCAATTCCTTCCATCCCTGGCAAGTCTGTCTTCATTCTTCAAGATACAGCACTAATGCCCTCTTCTACCTTCTCTTCACACCCAGTCCCCACCTCATCTCTTCCCAAATCAGAAGTAATCACTCCTGCCACAGCCACTCCTGTCCAGTCTTCCATGAGATGTTCAGGACCTTGAATTATAACTAGTGGACTAAGTGTCCATCCCTATTAGATTGTCAATGTTTGTAAAGTGCTTAGGAGAATATTTGACATATAGTAAGTACTACGTAAATGATAGACAGACAGACAGATTGGTAGATTGTGAGCTTCTAGAGGGAGGGACCATATCTTTCTTATTTTTTTTTTAATGTATCTTTAGTGTCTAACATAGAGATGACTGGCCTAAGAACAACTCAGTAAAGTTTGATAAATACATGAATTATTAAATTCAATTCCAGTTTCTGAATGTTCTTACTAGGATTTATGTTCATTGTTTTTTTTTTAATTTCAGCTTTATTGAGGTATAATTGACATAAAATTGTAAGATATTTAAAGTGTACATTGTGTGCTTTGATATACATGTACATTGTGAAAGGATTCCCCCATCTAGTTAATTAACACACCCATCACCTCACATATTTATCTTTTTTTTTTTTTTTTTGGTGAGAACATTTAAGTTCAACTCTCTTAGCAAATTTCAATTATACACTACACTGTTATCAACTGTAGTCACCATGTTTTATATTAGATCCTCAGACCTTGTTCATCTTATAGCTGAAAGTTTGTGCCCTTTTACCAACCTCTCCCTGTTCCCCTACCCCCAGCCCCTGGCAACCACTTTTCTACTCTCTGTTTCTATGAGTGATATTTTTGTTGGATTCCATTTATATGTTGATTGATTTTAGGAGCTTAGATTTAATGGTAGCAGTCAATGTGTGTGTTCTTTCCAGAGTATGTGCAAAATACTTATTTCTGCACATTGCTTCATGTTGGCTCCTACATAGAGTGAAAGGTTGAACAAGATGTCTTCTATATCCCTTCTCATGCTAAAGGCTCATCATAGACTGCATAGACATTTAGGGTAAACAAAGTGCTTTGACATATTATCTTCCCTGTGATCCTCAAAATAAATCTGTGCTGTCAGCAGGGCATAGATTTGTCCCATTCTCTCTCCTCCCCTGCCGTCCCCTGCCTCCCTATATTACTGATGAGGAGCTTTTAGTTTAGAGAAATTGTGACTTACTTAAAGTCAAAGAACCTTGAGTTCTATAAATGGTTAGTTTTCTTCTATCCTTAGAGCTCTGTTGGTAGTTGCCTCTCCTCTTTGGCTATATGGCCTACAAGGCTATATGGGGTTATGTGATAATTACATTGGCCAGTTGAAAAGATTTTTAACTAGACACTGAAGAGACTATGTTCATTAGAGAACATATAAAAAATTCAGCCTTTCACTCAGCCATCTTCCTCCTGTCAGCCTTCCTTCTCCCTCCCTCTATAATCTTCTTTTCTGCTTTACCTTTCATTTCATTTTTTTCCTCCCTACTCTTCCCATCTCCACATATGGATTGAATAAAGGAGTGAGTAGTGAAGTTTAATAGTTGACTACATTCAATTCTGTTGTTTCTCTAATCCCTTATCTTGAACACATACACCAGCTGTCCACTACCACCCACTTTCTTGTCTCCAGATTATTTGGATTTGGGTTAGGATTAGGAAGAACAAGAATAGGAGCTGATGAAACTGGAAGTCTGGATTCAGCTACCGTAGTGCCATTTCACACATTTATCAATCGTTTGTTCCTTGATTCGTGAATTCTCAGACACGTTGAAGTACCACCATGTGCCAGGCACTGTGCTGGGTGTTGGGTTGAGAGGAAAAGGCTTGATTGTATAGTGACAAACAAAATATGTCTTCTGTTCTCAGGGAGGTAGTAGTCAAATCTAGGAGAAACAGACATATCAAAAGACGGCTTCAGTATAATCTAGTTAGGGCCACAATATAGGTGGGAACTCAGAGAAGGAGTCATATTGGAGTACAGAGACAGTGACTCCCTCTGTAATTTCCAGGGGCTGTTATACAAATGTTTATTTATGTCAGTGGGTGAAGACTCAAGTGAACAATGTATTTTATTATAATCTGACTTATTTGGTTGATAATCATGGGTTTTATTTCTTTCAGATAAGCCATGGTTTGATTTCAGAAAATGGTACCAAGTTATGAAGAAATCTGTTGATGAGAAAAAACAAAAATGGGAGGAAGCCAGGGCAAAGTATGTTATCTTTTCTAGTTTTAGATTCATCTACTTTATTTTCAAATCTCTTGCTCTACATTTGAAAGCTTAAGTTTCATCAGTATAGACTCATCAGCATTATGACATTTTTCATAGAAATATTAGCCCCTATATTCTAATTAACTTTTTTCTTTTTTATATTACTATTAACTGTTAACTAAACTCCAGATTTTATTTGGAATTCACTAGTGTTTCCATTAATGTCCTCTTTCTGTTCCAAGATCCAATTCAGGGTACCACATTATTCTTAGTAATTAACTTTTTATAGTTTGCATGAGTCTCACCTGCATTTCTAATACTTCTCCCTCTTCTCTTTTTTCAACGTTGGTCATTTCCCATCTATACTTTCCAATATTACAAAGGTTATAAATGTCAGCCCGTGACATGTGTAATTGGAATGTTCCCCTAAAATAAAGATCCCCATAAAAGTCAAAACAAAGGAAAGCAGAAAGAGAATATATTTAATTCAGTCAGTCTCACTGTTTGACTTTGCACGCTCATTCTGATGGAGATCCATTGTGGTAGAGTGGAAGGAGCATAGCTTTAGAGACAGATAGTGCTGAGTTTGAGTCCTGATTGCATTACAAACTAGCTATGTGACTATAGGCAAATTACTTGACCTCCTAGCCTCAGTGCACTGAAATTTAGTTTGCTTATAAATTTTCAGAGATATTATATCTTATATAATATAGAGTAGATTTCTATTGATCTCTGATTTGAGCAGTTTTATATCCGTAGAACTTTGAGTCTTTATGAGACTTTGAAGAAAAAGTTTTAACATCCCTCTATTTTGTATAAATTTACAATAACACTCATTTGATCAAGTAATTTTATATCCTTTGAGAAAAACGAAGGTTCCTCAAATTATTTAAAATGGTAATTCATTCAGTTCATTCAACAATTCATCCAGTTTCCTTATCAATATAATAGGGATAATAAGGCCTGCTTTAGACTCTAGGAACTAAATTTCAGTTTTCCTAGGTAGAACTAGATTTTTTTTCTTTAACTTTAAGGGAGCTTTTAAATAGAGAAACAGACTTACAGAGATGAATAAAGCACTGTGAGGAAGAGGATCCTTGCCAAAAAGGGGAGAAGAGTAACAGTTTCTCACTATTTATGCCAATACACATGATGGAGAAGAAGTGGGAGGGGAACTGATTCTGACAGCCCACGGATACCCAGGAATCTGGGTTCTTCCTCTGCCTTGTCGGAGAAGGAATGTCTCTTTAGTCATTGGGTCTCAGTGGGTACAAGAGTAGCAGCAAGAACAAAAGGTTGTTCTGTTATCTTAGCTTATCTTGGAGAATCAGCCATTGGGCCTTCCTTTTTATGGTGCCAGCTAGGGTTGTCCTGACTGATACAGAGAGGCTAGGTGTTCAGGGGCCGAGCCATTCAGGCGTCTCAGTGGTGACTAGGCATTCATTAGCTCACACCAGGCACCAACGCACACTTCAAGCATAGCTATTAGAGCCCAAATTCATATTGCAGTGTTATAATTAATTGCACATCTAAGACTTAACCGACTTTAAGCTACTTTAGGGGAAAATTTACTGACCAAAGAAAGTAAATCCAGTTTCAAAATGGCATTTTCAGGGAGACACCAGGCCCCAGGGAGGAGATTGTCCAGGGGATCCATGACCAAGATCCTACTTCATAGAGGAAATGCTTTGGGCTAACTGAGATAACATAGGTAAATCACTACTGACTAGTGCTTGGGCACAAAACCCCTGTGCATGATTGCCTGTCTGTTTCACCCTACCCCATCCCCATTGTTGACATAAGTTTCTAATTTTTTTCTCTATCCTTCTGGACATGATCTTCCATGTTGTCAGAAGAAAGTTATTAAAGCATTGTCTATAGCTAAGCATGGGTCCATATGCATGAGATTATGAAAAACACTAATAAACAGTAGTTGAAAACCTAAAAACAGCTTAAGAGGTTGCTTTGATGACTTCCAGTTGTCATGGAAGATGTGGAGAAGAACATGGAGGAAAATTAAAAAGCACATGCAGAAAATCTTTGCAGCCTTTTGGATTAGGTAAAAATTTCTTAGATATGACACCAAAAGCATGATCCAGAAAAGAAAAAAGATAAATTGGACTTCATCAGAGGAAAGAACTGTTCTTCAAAAGACACTGTTAAGAGAATGAGAAGGCACAGGTGGGGAGAAAATATGTGCAAATCATGTATCTGATAAAAGATTTGTATCTAGAATATATAAAGAGTTCTTATACAATAAGGAAACAAGAAAACAACCCAATTTTTTAAATGGACAAAAGATTTGAACAGATACTTCACAAAAGAAGATGTATAGATGGCACATGAAATGATGCTCAATATCATTAGTTAGTAGGGAATTACAAATTAAAACCACAATGAGATATCATTACATACCAATTAGAATGGCTGAAAACAAACAAAAAACTGTCCCAAATGTGGGAATGCAAAATGGTACAGCTATTTTGGAAAGTTTGGCAATTTCTCATAAAGTTAAACATACGTTTATTATACTACCCCATAGTTTTCACTCCTAGATAGTTACTCAAGTGAAATGAAAACTTAAGTTCACACAAAAATCTTATATATGAATGTTTATAGTGGCTTCATTCACAATGGCCAAAAACTGGCAACAGCCCAGATGCCCTTCAGCTGGTGAATGGATAAACAAACTGGTGTGTACCCATACAATGAAATACTATTCAGCAATAAAAAGGAACAAAATTCTGATACATCCAACAATATGAATGAATCTTGAATGCATTATGCTAAATGAAAGACTCAAAGGGTCACATGGGGTATGATTCCATTTATATGACATTCTGGAAAAGGCTAAACTATAGGGACAGGAAAACAGATCAGTGGTTGCCTGAAATCAAGGGACTGGAGATGTGGAGAGGGGTTGATTATCAAGAGGCATGAGAATATTTGGAGTGATGGAACTGTTCTGTATATTAATCATGGTGGTGATTACACAACTATGTGTTTGTCAAAGCTAGCAGAACTGTACACTGAACAGGGTGAATTTTACTATATGTAAATTATACCTTAATTTTTAACAGTGGAGAAACAAATCATATGGGAATACTGGCGGAAAGCATACAGGACTTTGTGGTGTCCTGTGGAAAACATTAGGATTTTGTGGTGTATCTTTGTTTTTTGTAGCTTTTGTAGCTGGGAAAAGAGATAGGCAAAGTAAAGTAAATTTTTGAAGGAGTATCTAAACAGTGTTGTTAGTTTAGATCACCTTCCCCATTTTCTGGGCATATGACCAGGAAGTAATAATACCTCCTTGACTGTAGCATCTTTGACACCTATATAGGCATTTATTATAAATGCATAAGAAAATCTATCTAGATTAGGTATTCACAAGGAATTTTTAACAGTGGGTTTATCCAGAGATTGGGATTAGACTGTTTAGTTTAGGGAATTTCTTTATTATTTAAGGTTTTTTTTACCTTTAGTATGTTGTTACTTTTATTATTTAAGAAAATAAATAACAAAAAAGATATTTGAAAGAATCATGAACTCATTTACCATAGGGGTAAATGACAAGCTTTCTGATATATTTTAAATGTGGTATGGCTCACAAAAATTTAGTTTACACATAATTTTCAGGAAGACCATCACCTGTTAATATTGATTACGTCTCTACTGCTCCCTGATGATTAGAGAAGTTTCATTTCTGTTCTTAGCATTTTAAATCATTATGAGAATTTAAAGTAAAAAGTTAACATCTTTGTTTTATATAAATCAAGATTTTGCTGATTTGATCAAGTCTTTTTGAAATCCTTGAGAAATATCTCAATTCTTAAATTGGTTAAAATGAACATTGGTTAAAATGTTTACATAGTGCATTTTCTTTCCCAGCACTAAAAAAGAATGGTGAAAAATTATCCGTTATAGAATACTATAAATTAAAAAAATAAAAATATTTGAGTTTCTGACTTTCTGTTCCTTATCAGCTTTTTGGTAGAAAGTGCACAGATATTTCTTGAGTGTCTACTAGCAAGGCACTTTGTCAAGCACTGGATAATAATAACTTATAACAATTATATAGGATTTAAAAAATCCTTGCATGTGTTATGTTAATTATTCCTCATAACAACCCTGTGAAAGTAGAAGACACGTTTAGAGATGTTTAATTCGTTTGTTTGTTCATTTATTCATCAATTCATTCTTCAACAAATATTTAAATGAGTACTTACCATGTGCCATTCACTGCCAACACTAGGGACATAAAGAAGAGTGAGACAGTCTCTGCCTTTGAGAACCTCCAGAATTTGTCACATATGACTCATGTGAGGTGATACCACTGGAAAGTGGCCAAACCAGGTCCTGTGATTCAGCCCTCTTCCCATTGCCATACTACCTCTCAAAATAAGAAAATGGCCTAAAATCAAAAAGAAGGTAGTACTTATTTTTTACGATAAGTTACAAAAATCCTCCACATTAGGGAACTTAGAGTTAATGAAAATGAGACTAAAAATGAACATTAAATACTATCTTTGTTCCAGAGCAGCAGTGTCTGTTTGGCAAAGTTTAGTGATGGCCACTAAAACCAGAAATAGAACATGTCACTTCCATTTGTCCTGAGTCTAGGGCTCATCACCCGCAATCTGGAGGAACCCCACTTGACTCTTGGTCTTTGCCCTGGAAGGGCACCCAGAGGGCTAGATCAACGCAGGATCTCCATTTTACAGTGGAACCTCCCTGGCTGGCCTTCCTTAGGTAAGGATAGGTTGAGTCAGTGCAGGAACTATTAGGACTGCTTCATGCTGGATTCCAGACCTTTCCTCCTTGTTCTCACCAGGGATAGGATTGATTTCTAGGCATTAAGTGCCAGTCTTCTGTAGTCTTCTACAAAGTCTTCACTTTGTACAAGTTATCAGAATCAGAAGTACCACTAGCTTAATCCTCAGCAAAAGGGCAGTTGGGCAAAGGCAAGGAGGAACAAATGTTTCTTAGGTGGCTTCACTTTGTGAGAAGGGGCAGCAAGGGAATTTTATGGTGAGGGAAACCATTTCTACACTTTTTGTATAATTAATAGCTTCTTCAGGATCTTATGGCATCTGGGAGGCTTTTGGAAGGGTCACCATTCTGTTGGCTTATTATCTCCTTCGGTGCTACTTGCTTACTTCTAGGATGTAAGCTTTTGGACATGGGTCAATAGGTCCTTCTAAGTCAGAGCTTTTACACTGAATATCAGGAATTTCAGATTTTGCTTCAGAGAAACTTCCCTGAAATGTGTTTAGATCTAGTTCTTCTCCATCCTGCTCCAACTGTTTTTCTACCTTGTATAGGTACCTGTGGAAAAGCGAAAAGCCACTCTACCACTCATCTATCGACAGATCAGTGGTATATAAAAGAAGAGGTGAGTTCCATTTTCTCTTGTTAATGTCACAAGTGCAACATAGTTGTACAAAAGCTAAATATCTTGACTTGAAAAGTGAATGCATAAGTAATATTTTTACTTCTTTAACAAATGTTCCAATGCACATCCAAAGAATCATCATCCTCAGCGGGAAATCGCCAGAGGAATCTGTTTTTTTTCAGGAACATGACATTATACCAAACAGAACTTACGTTCCCACCAGAATCTAAAATCCTATAACTCTATGACTTTCAGAACTCTTTGTTTGGAGAATTGCCCTTAGGTTGTCTTATTTGTTCTTTTTTTTTTTTTCAGTTGTGGTAAAATATACATAACATAAAATTTACCATTTTAACCTTTTTTAAGTAGTTCCCTGGTGCCCTTCATCCAGTTTCAGTTTCCCCTAATGTTATCCTCTTATATTACCGTGGTACATTTGTCAAAACTGAGAAACCAACATTAGTACATTACTATTAAGTAAACTACAGACTTTATTTGTGATTTAACATTAGTTTTTATTTTATTCCTTGCCTTTTTTCCTCCATTTCCAGAAATGGTGGTGAATCTACAAAAACAATTTAGCACACTGGTTGATTCAACACCAACTGTTGCAAAAAAAAGTGCTTCAAGTTTTCAGTTCAACTGGACTGAAGAAGACACTGATAGAACTTGCTTCCATGGACATAGCCTCCAGGGAATCCTGAAGAAGAAAGGCCAGTCACTGACTACCAAGAATTCACTCTACTGGCTTAGTACACAGAAATTCTGTAAAAGGTATGTGATGCTTTTAGAAATCAAAGGATGAAAAACATGATGAAATCTCTAGTTTGGCCTGAAGTGATATTCCTTTCTTTTTTTTTTTTTTGGTGAGAGATATTGTCCCTGAGCTAACATCTGTGCCAGTCTTCCTCTATTTTGTATGTGGGACGCTGCCACAGCGTGGCTTGATGAGTGTTGCATAGGTCCATGCCTGGGATCCAGACCCGCAAACTCCGGGCCACTGAAGCAGAGCACGCAAACTTAACCACTATGCCACCAGGCTGGCCCTGTATTCTTTTCTTTTTTTTTTTTTTTTTTTGTGAGGAGGACTAGCCCTGAGCTAACATCCGATGCCAATCCTCCCCTTTTTCCTTGAGGAAGATTGACCCTGGGCTAACATCCATGCCCATCTTCCTCTACTTTATATGGGACGTCACCACAGCATGGCTTAACAAGCCGTGCATCGGTGCATGCCCGGGATCCAAACCTGCGAACCCTGGGCCACTGCAGTGGAGCGCGAGCACTTAACCGCTGCACCACCGGGCTGGCCCCTGTATTCTTTTCTAATTAAAAAAAGTCATATAATTTAAAGGAGTTTGCTGTAATAATAGCCAGATAGGTTATTTGTTGGAATTAGAAGATGCTGAGCTTATAATCAAGAAAATCAAAATTATACATTGAGTCTTGTTTTAAGAGTTTTAGGGATGGAGATGTTAACTAATCTTATTGTGATAATCATTTTACAATATATACGTGTATCAAATTGTTGTCACATTGTACACCTTAAACTTACATAAATTATATGTCAACAATATCTCAATGAAGCTGGAAAAAAAGTTTTATATTATAAAGCCTTTCTCATTGCGACTTTATATTTTTATACTAATCTCATTCCCATTTTGACATAGAAATTGTCTATAAGGCAATTTCCCACGGTAGTTAAAAGGACAGATTAACGAATCTGCCTGTTCATATCCCAGGTCTGCTGCTTGCACATTGTGGGCAGATTATCTACCATCTGTACATCTCTATAGCCCTGATTGTGAAAATAGGTTATAATACTGATCTTTCTCCTCTTCTCAAAACCTCCAGTGGTTCCCATCTTATTCAGAGTAAAGTTGAAAGACCCTCTGGAGCCTGTAAGCCCCTGCTGTTCTCTGACCTCCCCTGACACCCCCCTTCTTGTGCTCACTGCCCCCGTTCACACCGGCCTCCTAGCTGTTCCTTGAACTGTTCCTTGCTAAGCACACTCCCCATACAGGCCTTTGCACGTGTTGTGCCTTCTGCCTGGAATGCTTTTCCCCCGTGTATCCATATGAGCTCACTTCTTTCAGGTTTTTGCTCAAATTTCACTTCCTCAGAGAGGCCTGTCTTAACCATCCTGTCTAAAATAGCACCAGCCCTCTCCACTACACCCCTCATCACTCTCTATCCCCCTTGCCTGGTTTTTGTTCCTTATAGCTTTTGTCACTGTTGAATATATTATATTATTATATATTTATTTTGCTTATTTGTCAGCCTCTCCACGCTAGAATGTAAGGTCCTTGAGTGCAAGGACTCTGTCTTATTTAATGAAAAATCCCAGAGGCTGCAGCAGGGCCTCGCACATAGTAGGTGCTCACCAAGTGTTTGTTGAACGAATGCATGGAAAATAGAAGCTACTTCACAGGGTTCTTATGAGAATTAAATGAGATATTTGGTGTCTGTCACATAGTAAAGTCTCAGTAAATAATTATGATCATTATTATCATTTTAAACAAAACTTTCCATTAAAGAGTTTCACTTCCTGAGTTGAGTATCAATCAAAGATAAGTAAAATGTAGAGAGTATAGTCGGAGATAATAAAAGGAAGTTATCTGTATTAAAATTTACTGCTCAAGAAAAGTTTAGCTGAGTCTGGAATGATTAAGGCATGCACTGTCTGTCGTAACAGCAGCAGCAGTGGAAGGCCAGAATCCCAGCCCTGGGGTCAGCTCCACATCTGAGGTGACACCTTTCTTTGCAGTGATCAGTGTGCTGGCTTTTTCAGATTTTAAGATTTCATCAAGAGGAAGAGAAAATGTTGTAGTGCTGGCCAGTGAGGAGCCCGCACGAGACCAGTAGGTTAGGACGTTTTGTGCCAGCGCTTTTCTGCTTCATCTGCAGCAGAGTCGGTCCTGAGGGAGTTAGGGGAGAGCTGACACCTTTATGCTTTTCACAGGCACAGTCAGTGGATTTTGGCTGTTCTTCACAGATTTAATACTGTAATATAAGACAGTTAGTAATAAACAGATAGTGGTATCGTCAGAGATGAAACAGCTGAGATTTTTTTTCTCCACGTGAACTATAAGGCTAAAAACTATAACATGTCAATGAAACACCAGTGATACCACTACTTGATGCACCAAAATTACGTCAGCCTTGCCTATTTAGACCAGAGCCTAGAAGCACAGAGTAAGCAAAAAAAGGCTTCAGTTAACCAATAAAAATGTCACCAAGTCCACAACTAAAGCTTATGTACTTTTCTCAGAAAGCCCCTTAGCGCCTCACTCAGAGTCAGCTTACTCTGCCTTCAGGTGTGTTTCTGTCAGGCTGAGTTGTCTGATTTTCAGATTCCTAATCATCAAAAGAAACAAAGTAGAGGTGCTCTGCTGATAGACATCTTGACAGCAAGTGTAAATGACATTTGACAGACAGTGAAGGAGCCAGCATCAGAAGCAGAGGCAGACAGAAGAATTCTCATTACAGCGGTCTGAAGTTCCTTCGTGACACACAGTTAATAGCTCCACATAACTTCATAAGCCTGACCGTGCCTCAGCTTTAACACAGAGCATGTCCCAGGATGCTATGTGCATTCTCTTTGGGTTTGTTTTTCTTAGCTGTATTCTAATATTTCCACAATAAAAATGGACAACTTGAGGGGCTGGCCTGGTGGTGTAGTGGTTAAGTTCGTGCACTCTGCTTCAGCGGCCCGGGGTTCGCCAGTTCGGATCCTGGGCATGGACCTACACGCCACTCATCAAGCCATGCTGAGGCAGTGTCCCACATAGAGCAACTAGAAGGATGTACAACTATGACGTCAACTATCTACTGGGGCTTTGAGAAGCAAAAAGGAGGAAGATTGGCAATAGATGTTAGCTCAGGGCCAATCTTCCTCAAAAAAAAAGAACAGGGCCGGCCCGGTGGCACAAGCGGTTAAGTGCACGCGCTCCACTACGGCGGCCCGGGGTTCGCCGGTTCGGATCCTGGGTGCACACTGACGCACCGCTTGGCAAGCCATGCTGTGGCGGCGTCCCATATAAAGTGGAGGTGGATGGGCATGGATGTTAGCCCAGGGCCAGTCTTCCTCAACAAATAGAGGAGGATTGGCAGATGTTAGCTCAGGTCCAATCTTCCTCACAAAAAAAAAAACGGGGACAACTTATAATAATATAATTGTAAAGGCTAAAAAAATTATGCTCAATATGCTCTGTTTGGGATAACCAAATAGTATATAACTCAGTTTTTAAAGATTTCCATCCAACGTGGTTAAAATAAAATGTTTTGATGCTTAAGAGAGCAGACCTTCAGCTATATAGGTAAGTTTGTTATGCAGAAGAATTCATATCTGAGGGTTCAAAGAGACAAATGTTGTACTGTAAAATAATTGTGAGAACACTCAGGCCTTGAGAACTAGGCAGCACAAGGCAACAAGAGCACTTCAGATATGGGAGGTTGTTTATCCTTCTTATCTGAGGCAGAGCTAACAATCATAATGAATTTAAATGCCCTTAATATTCCTTACATGTATGGAAGTCCCCATCTGAAAATAGGCCAGTTACTGACAGTCAGCTAGGTCCAGAGTCCTGTTGGAGGCACTGGTGATCAAGCGTCTATCCTTGACCTCCCTGAGAAGGGCAAGTGGCTCATCTGTCCTTCCACAGGAAGAGACACAGCCGTGGTGTTTCAAGTTGTCTTCCACAGGAAATGGAGGGGCTTTGGGTGTCCCACAAAAGTTTGATTTGAATTAAAAAAAAATTTTTTAACTAATTTTTTTTAACTATAGTAAAAAACAATACTCAAATATGTGACATGCCAAATTTGAACATACTTGAGACCACCAAAACATTAACTTGTGTTACCAGGTTTGTTTATGTATTTTGAGTGTGTACAGACCTCAGAGACTATTCCTTCTGCCTACATTTGAACTCTCATAAGGAGGGTTGTACCTTTGCACTGCCCCCTGTTTTAAATGTATACCTATGCTTATCCATTCTCACAAAATCATTTGTATAAACACATTCTTACAGCATCCATTTGCCACATTTATTTTCAGTGTCAGAGCTCAAGGAACATATTCTCACAGCAGAATACTTGGCAATAACAAATTATTGTATGTTATATTTGGTCTTATGACTGATAACTCTAGGGTAGTTTTGTGAGTTTATAATAAAGAATGTAATCCTTATAAGGTATTGTTAGTGATTCAACTTAGAAATAAAAAGTTCTTACGGTAGCAAATAATTTCTATGTCTTTTCTTATCTTTCTGGTGTAGAAATAGAGCTTTCCTTATGGTCCCTAGGTAAAAGAAACAATACCTTTTACCCTTTTTGTGATAACAGTTTGTCTGAAAGACTCTCTTAATGTAGTTGAAATTAAAAAATTAGAAAGGAAGACGAGCAAGAGATGACCATATTTGTGAGAATTCCTGTAAAGGGCTTATATTTGATTTCTATTAAACCAGTCAATGAACAATTTCCTGCTAGTGAACAGAGCAGGGAATTGGCTTTATTGTATATTATTAAAATAGCCTTAAGATTTTAAGCGAAAACAAAAAATCCATTTTAAAGAGTGTAGGGGATGTGAACGTCTCTGAGCCCTTACTGTGTGCCAGCCTTTAGGTGAAGTGCTTAATACACATTCTCATGCAGTCCTTTATCCACCCTCTGAGGTAGGTATTGTTCTTTTTTTCCCTGTTTTACAGATGAGAGAACCAAGAGTAGTTACCCATACTCTCAACTGATGGGTGGCAGAGCTTTGTGGTGCAAATATAAACATTATTTCAGGAATTTAGGACCTTATATGTTATATATATCATAATATCTAAAAGTTTATATCCTCTATATATTATTGTTTACTTGTTTTTTAAACTTTTTATTATGGAAATTTTCAAGTATATTAAAAAATAGAATAGTGTAATGAACTCTGCTGTACCCGTCACTCAGCTTCAACAATTGTCAACATGGCTACGCTTGCTTCACCCATGCCCCAACTCTCTCCTTCACCCTCTACCCCTAGATTATTTGGAAGGAAATCCCAAACATCATAATATTTTTTTAAAGAAAACTATAATACCATTAATCAGACCTTTAAAACCTCTAATTCCTCAATATTATCAAATATGCAGTCAACGTTTAGATTTTCTCAATTGTCATGTAATTTTTTAAATAGCTCAGTCCAAATAAGGCCCATACATTGCAAGTGGCTGAGATATCTCTTAAATGTTTTAGTTTGTAACTTCCCCCTTTATCTCTTTTTTGTCCCCTTGCAAATTCTTGTTGAGTAATCCAAGTCATGTGTCCTGTACAATTTCCCATAGTCTGGATTTTGCTGATTGCCGCCTATGATACCATTTAATGTGTTCCTCTGTCCCCTGGATTGCCTATACCAGTTAGAGATTTGGTGGTAGAGATTTGATCAGATTCACGTTCTACTACTTTAAAATAAGTGAAATTGCTTTGTAAACTCTTCTTTCTATACTATGTACAGGATTGCAAGCTACATTATCAAGTCTGGTGTCTTAATTTGAGTGGTGGTTAGGGATTATTTCTTTTCCTTTGTTTATTTTAAAACCATGCCCAGAATCTCTCCGTGTGTACTTTTGTTTGTCTTGACCACAGTAAGAAGGGGGGCCACCTGGAGTGGAAGAGCCTCTGGGCAAAGAGGCGTGAGACCTGGCGCTAGCACCATCTGTGTCCCTTTAGCCATGGACAGTGCTAAAAGTTTTTCCTTTGTAAAATTAGGGAGTTTTACCAAATTGTTTCAAGTTTGCTTCCAACTCAGAATACTGTTTTAAGCCTAACCATATATATTTGCTAAGTTATTTGGGGGATGTTCCGGGGATAGATGCATACATTTCTAAATGGCCATTTAAAGATAACTTCTTTTTTCCTTCCCCTTCTAGCTATTGTAAACATGTGACAACTTATGAAGAATCAAATTTTTCTCTGAGTTATCAGTTTATACTAAATCTCTTCTCCTTTCTGCTGAGAATAAAGACCTCCTTTCTCCATGAAGAAGTGAGCTTAATTGAAAAGAGACTTTTTAAAGCAAAATACAGTAAAACAAAAAAGAAATCTTCAAGATCCAGGAAAGTAAGAAAATATTGAGAGAAATGAAGTAGAAACTTTCTTGGAAAATATTTTAATAGTGACAGTAATGTCAAATTATAACATTCCAGAGAGTTGTGGAAAATAAAATTTTATTGCATATACATACATATATACATGCATAGACACACACATATATATATATACACATATATATGCGTCAAATGTGCTTATGAAAATGTATATTGGAAAACAAGTGAACTTTGAATTTATTTTTAAACTATGAATATTCTTTGATAAAATTAAAACAATAAGTTTTATAAATGGTATCCAGAAATTTGTATTCATTGTATTTTATCCTTCTCAAACTATTCCAAAAATTGAAGAAGATGGGATGCTTCCTAACTCATTCTATGAGGCCAACATCACCCTGATACCAAAACCAGACAAGGACAACACAAAAAAGGAAAATTACAGATCATTATCGCTGATGAACATAGATGCAAAAGTCCTCAACAAAATATTAGCAAATTGAATACAGCAGTACTTTAAAAGGATCATACATCATGATCAAGTGGGATTTATACCTGGGATGCAGGGATGGTTCAACATCTGCAAATCAACCAGTGTGATACACCACATTAACAAAATGAATAAAAATCATATGATCAATTCAATAGATGCAGAGAAAGCATTTGAGAAGATCCAACATCCATTTATGATAAAAACTCTCATTGTATTTTAAAGCTAAGTTTGCTTTTTAAACTAGATAACTTCCTTACTCTTTATGCCCCTAAGTAAATCCCAAATAGATCAAAGATCTAAACATTATAATCTTTTATATATACATATAGTAAAGTATTAGAAGAGAACAAGTGTAATTGCTTTGATGATCTTAGAATGGGGAAGGACTTTCTAAGCATGCCTCAAAACCAGAAACCAAAAGGAAAAGATTGGTAATGTGACTGCAAAGCCAAATGGCAAACTGGGAAAATATATTTGCAGCATATGATGGACAAAGGAATAATTTCGTTAATGTATCAATAGCTCTTGCAAAGTGATAGGAAAAAGACAAGCTGAGCAAAGGATATAAAAAGATAGCTTCCTGAAAAAAAGAAATACAAAGGCCAAGTCAAAAAATATGTGAGGATATTCAACCTCACTCTTATTAAAGAAATACAAATTAAAGAGAATATTAGATTGGCACAGATTATTACAGTTTATAATACCTGGTGAAGATACTGGAAAATGAGGCATTCTTATTCAGTTTGTTTATTCATGCAACAAATACTTACTGAGCAACTTGTATGTTGCAGGCACATTGTAGGCCTTGGAGAAACAGCATTGAACAGAACCCCTGCCTTTAAAGATCTTCTAACTGGGCAGGGGCAGATAGTAAACAAATAAATATTTGGGGTAATGAAGTACAATGAAGAAAAAGCAAGGTAAGGGATAAGTGACAGGGTGAGTCATTTTATAAAAAGTGATCAAGGAAGGACCCTCTGGGGAGGTGACGTTTGAGCAGAGACCAACATGTATGAAGTATAATCGAGGGAGCAAACCATGTAGCTATCCAGAGGGAGATCATTCCTGGGAGAGGAAACACGGAAAGGCTCTGAGGCAGGAGTGTGCTTGGTGGATTTAAGGATAGCAAATTGTCCACAGCGGCTCCAGTGTTGTGGTTGAAGGGGAGAGTGGTAGCAGAGGGGATGGAAGAGTTTGCCTTCAGGGCCACGGTAAGGCTTTTATCCCAAGGGTGTCACAGGAAGCCACAGGAAAATTTTGAGTGAAAGAATGATGTGATCCAACACATGTCATAAAAGGATCACTTTGACTGCTCTGTGGTGAACAGACTGCAGGGGAAGATGGGCAGAGGTAGGGAGGCCACTTTAGAGACTATTGTACTAGTTCAGGCAAGAGGTGGTGGTTTGGACTGCAGATTGTAGTGAAAGTGAAGTGATGAGATCCCAGATGCAGTTTAAGTATGGAATAAATAAGGGTTTGGTGATGGTTGTGAGTGTAAGAAATCAAAAATGCCAACATTTTTTTTCCTGAGCAACTGAGTTAAGGTACCATTTATCAAGATGGGGCTGTTTTAATTGCCTCCTATTTACCCCATTGTGAAGGAAGCTATTGCCACCTTAGGATTGTGGGGATGGCTGACCACGTGGTACCCAATGCTGAACAGATGAAATCAACAGCAGTTTATTTATCACAAATACTTACCACCTGAGGGAGCACACTACGAGGGCCAACAGGGGGTCACAGGGCCAGAGGGAGGCAGGCTTTGTAGTATCAAGAGGATAGAGTGGCCACTGGTTCCTGTGGGAGGATATGATTAGCTTGTTAGGATAATTCTGTGCGCTGGCAGGGAAGTGAAACCCACTGCTCAAGGGCAAGCAGGAACTGCGTCTGTTCCTCTTGATAAAGTGTGTTTGCTTAGGGGACCTTATCCATGGGAGTGGAGTGGTGAGGGGAACTTGTAGTTAGGCCATTCGGGGCCCTCCCGGTTTCACCAGCTGTCAAGGCAGCATATAATACTGGGCCTTAATTTTAGGCCTTAAACCACAAGGAGAACACTGAGAAGAGTGGGGATTGGGAAATTGGTTCTGTGTGGGGCATGTTGGGTTTGAGATGCCTATTAGACATGAAAGAGATGTCAAAATACTTGGGGGGAAAGTCCATAGTTCAGAGTTCTAGCATAATGTAAATGTAGGAATCACCAGAATATAAGTAATATTTAAAAACTGTGAGACCAGGGGCTGGCCCTGTGGCTTAGCAGTTAAGTACGTGCACTCTGCTACTGGCGGCCCGGGTTCAGATCCTGGTGCGCACCAATGCACCACTTGTCCAGCCATGCTGAGGCCACGTCCCACATACAGCAACTGGAAGGATGTGCAACTATGACATACAACTATCTACTGGGGCTTTGGGGAGAAAAAAAGGAGGAGGATTGGCAATAGATGTTAGCTCAGAGCTGGTCTGCCTCAGCAAAAAGAGGAGGATTAGCATGGATGTTAGCTCAGGGCTGATCTTCCTCACAAAAAAAAAAAAAAATAGTCATGTCTTAAAAATAAATAAATAAAATAAAAACTGTGAGACTAGAAGGGATCTCCTAGGGAGTTAGTATAGATAGAAAAGAGGTCTTCATAGATACTCCTTGTGGCTGAGCAAGTTCCCTTCTACTCCTAGTTTGCTGAAAGTGTTTTATCAGGAATTAATGTTGGGTTTTTTTCCAAATGCTTTTTGTGTATCTATGAAATGATAGTATGGTTTTTCTTTTTTAGCCAGTTAATATGGTAAATTACATTGAGTTTCAAATGTTAAACCAACCTTGCATTCCTAGGATAAAGTCCACTTAGTCATGATCTATTATCCTTTTTATGTATTGTTGAATTTGATTTGCTGAAATTTTGTTAAGAGTTTTTGTGTCCGTGTTCATAAGGAATGTTGTTCTGTAGCTTTCTTTTCTTGTGATTTTTTTATCTGGTTTTGGTATCAGAGTAATGTTGGCATCTCAGAATGAGTTGTGAAGTATTCCCTTCTCTTCTGTTTTATTTTCTAGAAGTGTTTGTACAGAGTTATTCCTTAAGTTTTAGTAGTAAAGCTCATCTGGATCTGGATTGGGAAAATTTTCAACTACAAATTCAATTTAATACATATAGAGCTGTTCAGGTTATCTCTTCTTGAGAAAGCTTTGCTCTTCAAAAGACACTGTTTGAAAATCACCAGCTGGGAAAAAATATTTGCAAAACACATCTGACAAAGAATTTGTATCTATACAAATAATTCTTAAAACTCAATACTAAGAAAGGAAAAAAAAACAAAAATAGGCAAAAGATTTGAACAGACACTTCACCAAAGAAAATATATAGAGAACAAATAAGAATGTGAAAAGTGCTTGATGTCATTAATTATTAGTAAAATGCAAATTAGAACTAGAAAGAGATACCACCACTCACCCACTAGAATGGCTAAAATTTTAGAAGACTTACTGCAGTAAGTGTTGGCAAGGATTTGGAGCAACTGGTGTTCCCACTGCTGATGGAAATGTAAAACGGTACAACCATTTTAGGAAACAGTTGAGTTGTTTCTTAGAAGTGAAAAATACACCTACCATGTGATTCAGCCATTCCACTCCTAGGTGTCTTCCCAAGAAAAATAAAAGCATATTTCCACACAAAGACTTATACACAAATATTCATAGCAACTTTATTTGGAATAGGCAAAAAAGGAAAACAACCCAAATGGCCATCAACAGGTGAGTGGATGTGCTGTATCCATACAGTGGAAAACCATTAGCTATAAAGAGGAAGGAACTATTGAAACAGCAACAACACCTCGGCTCAGGAGAGGGATTTGGTGGAGTATATAAAAAGCATATCATTTTATAACTTAAAAAATTGCTTTCTAAAGATTTTTACTGAGAAACGTTATTTGAATATAAATTTTATGGACTCAACATCATGGTTTGAAGCACTATGGCACTTCAGTTGAATAAAGAGTTGAAGTTGCTAACAAGTGCCATATACTTAAAAATATTGAGACAGAGAGCAAAGCTATGAAAAGTTTTGGGCCACCCACGAACATGAAATAAGATTAATAAGGGAGGAAAGGGAATCGAAAAATAAGGTTTTGTGTGCATTTCAACCTTAGGAATTACATTTAAGCCTAATAAAGAAACGTTACTTCTTTAGGAGTCAATGATTTCACATCTAAAAATTATTCAACCATAGGAAAAGCTTATCTGTCTACTGCCTAAAAGGGATGGGGAGATTGTTATGACAGTAATAGCATGCATTGAGCACCTACTCTGTAAGGTACTATACTAAGTGCTCTAGCTCATTCACTCTTCTCAGCAGTTCTGTGAGGGCCGTACTCTCATCCCTGTATAACAGATGAAAAATGAAGGGGTAGCAATAGTCAGTAGACTGTGAAGGGCACACAGCTAACACAAGGCTGAGCTGAGATTTGAGCCCAGATCTCAAACTCCAGATTTCAAACTGTATTAAAAAAAATGCTCACTTGTAGACTTCTTATTGCTTTAGTAGTCTGTATGTTTCCCTTTCATTTGCATCCTGGGGATGGAAGAAGGTTTTGTGGATATTTTAGTAAATTTAATTCAATAAAAATTTCTTGATTGTTTATCAATGTGG